GAATCTGGATATAGCTCAATGTCCCGTTTTGGAGGGTCCAATCTAAAACGCCGTGTTCCATCAGAACTCTCATTAACTAGTTCATTGTCGGACTCGTCAACTTCTGCTCCATCTGTTTTACAGACAAATCCAAACTTGCTGAGACCCAAGTCTTTCCTTATCTGCTTCAGGATTCGTCTGTGATATGGGGGCTGTATGAAACCCTATCTCATTCTGGCTTGGTCTATAGCATTCAAATCCAGTGTAATATCAAACCTCCGCAATCTTGGGAACCGCTTATCAGTTGGTTCGAACCCATCAACACGCACCTCTTGAACAATCGCAATGAAGGGGATTTGAGTGCGTCTTGGAGGTGGCCCATCGAGTTCATTAGGATAACCTCGTTCAAGCATATGACCATTCGCGGTGTAGTACCAGAAAACTCGGCAGTGAAAGTAGTCATCTGGATTCATGAGATGGCTATTTTTCCACGAAAAGACCCAGTCCGGCTTTTGCTGTTGGGGCTCTTGCTCTTGGCCATCGATTGGTAATCCAGTATTGATGTTAAACCTTCGACGTGAGGGTGGTCTATCCGTCACATGAACTCCTGGTTGCCCTCTTGTACAGGGAATGCTCGTAATAGAACCGTCATTTCGATCGATGAGCAGCTCACAGACCCCATTTTTCAAAAACTCGGGGAAGTTATCAGGTACGGTATTCATCGCCATTTGAATGATCTCGTCCATCCATTGGCAATCTGGTATCCTTGTGCCAGGAGAAACCCGCCAGTATCCTGCAAACCTTCCCCCTTCTTCTGCTTCTTTTGGCCTAGATGTCGGCATCGTATTCATCTCCAACTCTTGTGTTCCCATTCTACGGCGTTTAAGAGTCTCCAGTTGCAGTCTCTGGCTCTTTTTCTTGGCTTTCTGGCGAGATCTCCAACGATCACAGGCATGGATGCAGCAGAAAGTGTAGAGGTAGTCTGGGCATCTCCACCACAGCCAGAGCCAGTTGCAACAACACATCTTCGAAGCTCAGAGTCTCTCAGGGTGTAAGGTTATAGGTGTCTGTTAAGGCTTCTTAGTCAGTCCATGACGCTCTTTCAAAGGCAGCAGTTACTCCATACCTGTATAGATTCGGCCTTGGTAGATAACGGAAAGAGTAGGATACGATCTTTTGTATTAATAATAGATTGCTCTTCTAGAGAGCTTGCCTTTCGAGCTGAATATTTCGTGAAATCTCGTACATCTAAGTTGAACTCGATAAATACCGGAAGAGAAGGAAGGGGAATTGTAAGCCTGGAAATATGGGAGAGATATAGTCTGACTTAGGATAATGCTTCCAATGGTAGAGAAAGAGTAGTCGTCCATAGACCAACAGGTTCTCTGCTTAAGAAGTAGTACCACTACCAGGGGTTGTTCAGTAGGTACTTCCTAACTAGGCAGGCGACGGACTGGAAGTCAGTTACCCAACTAGGAAATAAGTTGATGCGAAGCTAATTTTTCTTCTGAAAGCCACACCATTCAAGTTGAAGAACTCCAGGAGACTCCAATGATTGACCAAGCTCCGCTATCACCTCTTCTGGTTACACCTCATGCAGCTTTATCATTGAAGGATTGCTTCTCTTCTTAATTTAAGGTGACTCCCCACCGACAATACCACTGAGCTACAAGATGTACTCAAGCGTGAGAGAAAAAGGATTGAGATACTTGAGGTTGAACGCAGGCGTCAGCAAATCCAGCACAGGATTACTGATTTTTTGGTTCTTCTGGAGCCTCCTTTTCCTCTTCCTGATGTCTCTTTGTTATTTGTATACATGCCTAATATTGCTTGTGTCATTCCGTAGGCTTTCCTACCCCCGCTAGCTTTATTCCTAGTTACAGATTTTCTCTTGATATAAGCATATATTAGTTACAAGCATACCCCCCAGTCCGGAGGGTATACCTGTAACGAGAGTCATCTGTACAGCCAACAAAATATTTATATTTATTGTATTGTGTAACTATGTGCTGGGTAGTTCTAGATCCGCTACACCTATATACCCCACAAAGGTACCCATATTCATTAGCCAGAGGCAACCACCGCAACTTTTCCTTTCTTATGGTTCTTTTGGCTGCGTAATCTCTGGGAACCGAGTCTGCTCGCTTGGGTGGAGCTTCAGAGAGGTTAGCTATTATTACAGTCTGAAGTACGTTACACCAGTAGCCAGAATGGTTCCCAAAATAGAAGAAGACTTACTTAATCTAATGCTCGAATTCAAGGCGCTTCCCGCAACGCTTTGCGGAGAGCCTAGTCGTTCACACGATGAATAGTCGTCCTGCTTCTAGCCCCTTTTATCCGCCGGGACGAATGCGTATCTGAACTTGAAAAGAGATGTTAGCCAATTACAACATGAACTACGCTTGGAATGTTTCTATGAAGGAGGCATACTTTGCGCCGCTGTGGAGGCAGGATTGGGGTGAAGTGTGGATCCGAAAAGAGGATCAAGCTCCTTCGCTTTCCCCTCTTGAATCACATCACTTACCCCACATGTAGCTTGAACCATTTCGTAGTGAAAAGGATAATTATAATATAAATTTTTTCCTTGTTCAGCACGGAGTGGTGCTGCTTCGTTGAAAATAGTTTTGCTATAGTTGGCATTTGTAGTCTGACCCAAGTTGGTTAGTTATGAGAGAATGCGATAGAGGTTTCTTTTATCATGGGAGGGCGAAAACTAGAAGACGAGTGGGACAAAGGGAAACGGGAAGGAAAGTGTAAGGGGATGCGTGGTATCTGAGCTTGGGTCATGATAAGCTTCCCGTCACCACCCCTAGCAGCTCAGATTTGAGGATACAAGGTATGTTCACTCCCACCTTTGAACCGGGACATATAAAATCGACTGTGAATCAATGTGTAAACTGATTTAAATTTGGATTTCTAGAGGTTGTTTGTTAGTTATGAATGAATGCAAGAGAAGCATTTTTGCTAAAAGGAGTGTTTAACTGGTGAGAAATAATAACCAGAAGGTCGAAGGAAAAAGGTTTCTAATGACAATACAATGATGCAAAAGAAAATAAGAGAAATATGTGAGGGGGGGGTGAAGTTTGGGGTGGTTATGTCAGGACGGTTTGATCTTGTCAAACCCATCTCCACCTCTCAGATACTCAAATTTGAGAAGATGATGTAGCTTAGAATGGTCTCGCTCACCTTTGAGATCAGATATCAATAGTTAATTTGTTCTTAGGCTTGTGTGGAAGTTTGAAATGGCGATTTTTGACGTTTGACTATCCGTTTGTCTATTTCGACGTATGGTGGTTTGCGTGGGATTTGCATAGGTAAATTTTGTCTAGGGAGGAAGGCAGAAAGGAAGAGACAGGGGAGAAAGATGGGAGGGGATAGAAGGTGGATTTGTGTGCAATCGCCGTGCCACTAGGTTGATGAGTCGTTGGACTGCTTTTTTTGCAGAATTCATTGTTATGCACACGGAGGTGTGGGGATTTAGAGCTTATCCTGGTGGAAACAAATTACTTTGGCTTTTATTTTGATCTTGACAACTACTTCACAGGATGAGAAGGGATGGCAAACGACATCGACGAGAGGGTCGGAACAAGAAAATCATGACGTTCTGGATGGCTAGGTGAAATATGTTTGCAAGAATTCTCATTGGGGACACAATTGGAGGAAGCTCGGGATTGATATTGGTCCAGCATAGAATGTTTCGTTGAAAAACCTTCAGGAGCAAAGCCTATGTGGGTGTTTCGCACAGCGGGAGAAAAATGGAAGAAGGATTGTATCGCTCCCAAAGAAAACTCTGGAGCAGTTATCCAGATGGTATGGGCTTGATTTGCCTTTGCTGGTGTCAGAGAAGGGTCCTATGTTGAAAATGATTCAGATCCAGAAGCTAAAAGAGGAATCGGGGGGGGGGGGGGGGGGGTCACTGGTCAGGTCTATCTTAAGGTTTGGCAGGTTTATTTACCAGAGCTCCATCAGAATGACTAGATGTTTATGCAAGACAATGCCCCAATACATACCTATGGCCATGTGAAGCAATGGTTTATTAGTACAGGCTATCAAGTCACGGAATGGCTACCCTGCTCTGACCTTAATCCGATTGAGCACGTCTGCTCAAAAGCAAACCTTCATAAGTACTACCCGGAATTCAACACGTCGGGTAACTCGAATACTATTAACCCGAAACTATCTGATGCTATAAACCATTGCTTGGAGCTGTTGGACCCTGCTATCCTTGAGAATCTGGCTAGATCTAGGACAGGTAGAAGTTTCTCGGCCTGAGACCGGTAGTTTCTCGCAACTAGCGCATGGAGAGTTATATGGCCGAAGAGTTTATTTCCAAGGCAAAGCAAACGATATCGAATGATCTCTAGCTATTACTTTATACTTAATATTTGGGGGGTAGAAAGAATTACAGAAATAGCCTTCTGCGTCTCTTTATCGCTGACCTCACCCCCCCCTACAGCGGTTTTTGGTGTGTGAATTTCTTTCGGCCAACTCTGGTGCACGTGCCTTGGTTTTTTCCCTTGGCCCTTTTATACCGGAATTTGTTTAGAGAGATGTTGCAGTTTTCGGGCAAAACATATGCTGCATTTTCGTTGTATGGGCTTGCTGCAAGCTTGCAAAGTACTCAGCCTGTTCGCCAGTAAGAGATTGATGCAGTTGTTCTTGAAAATATAGTGAGAGAACTAGAAATTCATGTCGTTGGTTAATATAGATGTCATCTGGCCGTCGTTTGTAGTCTCGATTACGAGACTTATCTAATCACTGGATACCTGTCCCAGGCCGGGAAAACTTTCTGGCATGAGACTAAAAACTTTCTACTTGTCCCGAGTCAGTCGGCATCAGTTATTGAGGCTAAGTAACTTAATTATTTCTTTGTATCAAGTCTAGAGCATGTATCTAGAGCATGTATCTAGAGCATGCTCTATTATATAGTTATTGGTTAGTTGTTGAAATATCTCAAAAATTGGGTCGGACGATGACTTATCTATTATACATATGTAAAAAAGAAAAATGCAAAAATGTATAGTCCCCGAGGCGGTTCGAACGCCTGACCTAGAGATGGTTGGCATGTACAACTGCAATCTCTCGCTACTACCACTGAGCTACGGAGACTTCTTTGTTAAAGCTTAATTTCAATGCGGCTTAAGAATCCAGTTGGTAATAGAAAGACGGCTTCTTATTATGGTTGTTGATACCTACAAATATATGACCATATGCAGCGAACAGTCTCGGGAACTCTGATAACCTTGAAGTTTTCACTCCGGCTCAAGAAAGAAAAACAATCAGTCAGAGCACGTACTAAAACTAATTACTATGAGGTTTAGTAACAACTAATGGATAAACTAGGATCCAAACTTTGCCAACCAGGCTACAAATAAGACAAATTCCCTAAAAGGCATAACTATTGTCTCCTTTTGTCCTCGAACTTTACTCTATAAGAAAAGGTAATTTAACATATACGTCAATAAAGATACATCAGCCAAGATATAAACCCCAAAGGTAAATCTAGAAGCCAGTTCTGACTCAAGTTAAAATCCCATAAGCATGCTGAAGTGCCCGTTCTCCTCCTGATTCTCTACCTTCCGCACCTTCTTCCGAATAAATTCCACCGCTTCCTCCACATAATCCACATACCCCTTATGCGCAACAAACGTCCCATCGGTAAAAATGCTCTCAAAATTACATACAGGGTCCTGGGGTATACACTTTGTCCAGACCTTTTCTGAATCAAGCGGATACTGTGCGTGCTTGTGGGGACGGAGGTTCCACGGATATCCTTCGGTAAAGATCTCAGTTAGCCAACATTCGGGGAAGAAATTGTGGAGGGGACGAGAACCAGCTTGGATCAACTGAGTTTAGTAAGGGATATGTGTGAGAAGCAAGAAAAGCCAAATTTGGTAGGAACATCGGTTTTTTTGGACTGAGGGAGGAGCATCAAGAGGACTCACCGAAAATAACAACTGCATCTACCCTTTCCTGTTCCTCCGGAGTCAGTTTTGTTTTCTGCAATACTGCCGCACCTATCACTCCATCAGCTTCTCTCTACTTCTTCAAGTTCCAAAAACTTTGCAAGTGTAAACTCACCTAGGCTAAAACCGCCGAGGACAATCCTCGTTTCTTTACACTGTCCCTGCTCTCCCTCCAATTCAACCCACATCCCAACTCTCCCCTCAATATCCTTACCCCCCTCCTCCAATCTTCCACTACTAATGACCTTGCCTTTATACGCACTTGCGTCGTAAAATACCCCGTATGCAGTCATATTCGGATATTCCCTCATCAGCTCGATATAGAGTGCTCTACCGATTCGCCCAAGGCCGGAGGGCTCACCCGTCCCTCTAGCAAAGATGAGTTCGACCGGAGGACAGGATGTCAAGTTCCCGGGGAGGGGATTGGGGAAGGATTCGAGGGAGGGGATGGACCGGGGAAGGGTATTGTGTGCGGGTAGGGTGAGAGCGGTGTCTGAGGGAGATTCGGGTTTCACTTGGGATTCCTGGAGGGATTCGGATTCACTGTAGGTTATTATATCGTTGGGGACTCTAACTTCCTCTTGAGGATTCATATCCTTGTAAGCGTCAACAAGGACTGCTTCGTGGAGTATGTGGGATTTTATATCTTTGTAAACATCGAAACAGGAGGCTTCATGGCCCATGTGAAGTGGGGGAATGCTGCAGCAGCCACAAATACTGGGTAGATCGGTTGGGATAATCAGGAGACGTTCCCTTAGGTTGTGGATTCCCTTCAAAGACGATGGGTTAATTCCGGGCTGGTGCGGCGGAGTTGGAGGAAGGGGGGAAGAATTTGGCTCGGAGGTCGTCATGGCTAAGTTGATTGAGTAAGGGCTGAGGGTGGTGGAGCCTGTAGTAGGCGTAACAGTCGGAGGTATCATAGGGGTGAGGGTGAGGAGAGACAGCACGTAGTCTCCGGGTATATACATTTTGGTAAATGGGCTGGTGATTAATTTTGTGTGAGTTCAGGAACCAAATGTGCCTAATTCCAGTAGGCAAGCGAAAACTGAAGGAGTTATAAAACCTCTTCCCCGGAACTTCGGTTAAGGACATGTGTCGAACGCAAACCTAGACTTCAAGTACCTAAAGAGTTCGCACTCTTAACACTAAGAGACTTTATCAGTCTAATCATGGATTGGAGGAGGGAAATTTTGGGAAACATGATGAGTTAACCTCTTACATATACACGCTTGAACCCAGATTCATTTTACCAGCATAGAATTCTCTCTGCTCTTAAGTATACCGTTTGTAGCATTCTCCCACATGGTTTTTATTTGACCGTGTTTGGAGACAGCAACAGCAGCAAAAGGTTAATGGTCGTCCGGCAGGCTCGCTTAAAGGGCAATAACAAAGACTACAATCTTTTTCTGTCGTCGTAAGTAGGTCCTGGCGGCCAAGGAAAACTCCATAGTAGATAAACCCAAGGCCTTTGAGCAGCTGATAGTTCACTGTTGGGAACCTTTAGGTAAGTGAATATCAATATGATATCCACTGTTACCGCTGGGGATGAATGTTAAGTCTCCCAAAAAGGGATGGAGGGGAGAGAGATAGCTAGGTATAGGGGATTTCAGAGAAAAATATTTAAGAATATGATAGATATTGGTACTCATTTACACTGACACCCACAGCAAAAGGCTCACTGGTAAGATTACTCTACATCCCTGAAAATGCAGTCGATGCCCAAATAGCATGCACTTGGGGATACTGACGCCGATAGTGCATCCATACCAATCTTTTTATTGATAAACAGCTACAAGATACCCAATAACAGCAAATATATCTACCCGACCATTAATGCCCAGTTTAAAGAGATCAAAATATTTGTGTAGACTGCAATATCTCAGTACTATCCTCGTGGTCAGTACCTGAGATTAGAGGATACAGTAGGCTTGCGTAATTCTTCTTCTTCTCCTTTCTCTTCCCCTTCTTATTATTAGTATTATTTGATGCTAGTTTTAGCTAACAGGATTAATCTTTCTGATTGGGGTTATCAGCAAGTATTCCATGCCGCTACTGCCTATAGAGATTCTTTACCAGTGTTCTTTCTGATGAGAGGGCAGATGCTTCTCCCCATAGGAGTCCACCAGCATGCTCTCAGAGTCTATGCTATTCTCATCTTTGGACCAAATAGTTAGCTTTGGAATTTCACGCAATCCATCTCATGAAATATAAAGCAAGTATTGGAGCCTACAGATACCCTCAATCTCTACTTCTTCCAGCACCGGCCTATGAGCCAGAGGCTTCGAGAACTTGATTGTTGAATTTGTTTAACCAGTTCGAGAATCCGTAGATATTCTGCATTGCATTTGGGTTGAGATTGAAGGTTCCGAAGTGAGGAACAAATCCCGTTAACTCCATTTCGAGAATTCTTAGTCCCTCAAAAGTGATAACAGAATTAATTGCTCTGTTGGGAAGGATGGATCACCCTGCGACATAGGACGCTACATCTTCCTGCCAGTTTTCCCATACAAAATTCCGACTGACCAGCTCTTCTGTGCGTGCTTTCCCCCAGTGCCCCGCAACCTTGCTGTCGTGGCACTGTCTCAAAACCTCCAATTTGTGTCCCGGCGGTACCTCCAACAAGCCGTTGTTCCGCCTAGGCCATGCCGATACATCAATGTTTTCTAGCGAGGGATCTTCTGCTGTAAGGCCTTCTTGGTCTTCCTCTCTTTCTGATACTAATAGCAGCTGCCCCTCTTTTAGCAGGCGTTCTTCTGCACCCGACTTCTCTTCTCCTGCTCTTCGGCTAAGCGCATCCGGTTTGCCCATTTTAGAGCCTGGCCGATATGTTATTGTGAACCTGAATTCGGCTAGTTTCTGGTACCAGGTGGCTTGTCTGGAGTTGAGCCTTTGCTTGGTGTTGAAGTACTGCAAGCCTTGGTGGTCGGTAAAGATATTGACTGGTACACCAACTAGCCAAGCTCGCCATTTACGGAAACAGTCGACTATGGCAAAGAGCTCTTTATCATGGATTGGCCAGTTTCTTTGTGCGGAATCCAGCGTTTTTGAGTGGTAATCAACTGGATGTAGGGTTTTGACGGTTAATTCAACATATGGCTTGTTGCCTGGCTTGTGGATGTGATACTGGGACAGTACCCCAGCAATGGCCTGATTGCTGGCATCCGTTTCCATGATGGTTTCAAGCGTACGGTCGAACTGAGTAAGGATTGGGGCTGCCATAAATTCTGCTCGCAGTTCATCAAAGGCTTGCTGCTGTCTAGCCCCCCATGAAAATGGTATGTCCTTGGTTAGTTCAGTGAGGGGCCTTGCTTTTGCACTGTATTGTGCAATAAAACGACGGTAATAGTTAGCAAAGCCCAAAAATGCTTGAACCTCCTTCTTCTTAGTTGGGGTTGGCCAGTTAGCCATGGTATCTAGCTTAGCGGGGTCCATTTTGACCTCTTGACCGTTGATGATATGGCCTAGAAAGATGGTTTCAGAGGCATGAAATTCGGATTTTGGCAGGTTAACAGCTAAGCCTATAGAGAAAAGAGATGTACCAGAGCCTGAAGGAAGTTAGCAGTCGGGACGACCTGCTTTCCAACGGGGGGGTAATGTTACGAGTTCTCACGTGAGGGTGGTCTACGCAGAGGCGGAACCGAAGCCCATATGTAAGCACATGGACTGATCACCCACGAGAGAGAGAGAGAGACGGGCCGGAACAAGGAAGTGTGTGTATCGCTAGCGAAGGCTAGGTCGTATCTATTTATGGATAAACTGCTTCTGATGGGTTGACGTATGAGCATATGAATACGCATGTGGTGGAAGGTTATTAGCTTTCGGCATGTGAGGTAAAGGCCGTTAGCATATGAAGCTGGCGGAGCTGGCTATATAAGGAGCCTCTTGTATCTAGATAGAAAGGGAGAACCCAAGCACTGTCCTGTTTATTATATTCGTTGAACTCTGCTTCTTTTGAAGGCCCGAACCATAGGAACTCGTAACCCGTCCGTACGCCCCTTCACGGTTCGCCCCTTTAGCACCCTTGAGACGAACACTATGATAGCCTTCACGTGTAAATATGTGTTATTTGGTACTTAAAGGTAGATATTCTTCCTCTTCCTCGTCCTTCTCCACTCATTATCTGCACCTAGCTAGCGTATTCGA